AATGCATCTTGACCTGCAAAACCAAGGACAGCATCACCGATCACGGACTTTGGCTGGCATTACAACACACTTCTTCCATGGACAAGTGTACTCCTCCAAATTGGGACATTCAGGATGAACTACTAATATTCAGAGGACGAGTCTACATACCCAAAGACACCAAACTCCAACACAATCTCATCCAGGAAGCCCATGATTCTCCTACCACAGGACACCCTGGGCGATACAAAACTCAGGAGATTCTGCAAAGAACCTATTGGTGGCCCACCCTTGCACGTGATGTCAATGAATATGTTACTGGTTGCGCCACTTGTCAAGAAAACAAGGTCATAACACATAGGAACTCACCGGATCTAGTACCCATCACGACAGAACATCACCTTCCATTCCAATCCATTGCCATGGATTTCATCATGGACCTACCTCGGAGCAATGACTTTGACAGCTGTCTAGTAGTAACGGATCACGATTGTACCAAAGCTTCGGTGTTCATACCCTGCAACAAGACAGTTACAGCATCCGAAACTGCTACCCTGTATCAGAACCACGTCTTCAGAAGATTCGGATTACCCACCAAGGCTATCTCTGATAGAGGACCACAGTTCACATCATGGATGTTCCGGGAACTGTGTGCTAAACTAGACATCAAACAGAACATTTCTAGTGCTTTCCATCCCCAGACTGATGGACAGTCAGAACGTGTCAACCAAGACTTGGAACTATACCTTTGGATCTTTTGCAATCACCGAGCAACTGATTGGACAAATCACTTGCCTCTAACAGAATTTGCGCACAATAATAGACATCATGATGTGATCAAGATGTCTCCCTTTCAGGTGCTCATGGATTACCAACCTTGGCATAATATTCCCACTGTGGGAACAACTGATGCGCCAGATATCACTTCTAGACTCACTCAGCTAGCACACCTTCATACAGAAATCCAATCCAGTATTCGATTAGCAGAGGAAACAGTCAAGAAACGAAATAAGGACAAATTCGTCGAATACACGCCTGGTCAGAAGGTATGGCTAGAGGCCACCAATCTCAAGGGAATCCATCCCAAAGCAAAACTCGGACCAAAACGCTACAGACCCTTCACCATCAATCAGAAGCTGTCACCAGTAGTCTATCGGTTACAGTTACCGCCCAAATGGAAGATTCATCCTGTGTTCCATGCAGGATTACTATATCCTTATTCGGAAACCACAATGCATGGGAAGAACTACCTCCGACCCCCCCGGAACTAATCATGAATCAAGAGGAATTCAAAATTGAACGTATCATTGATTTGAAGATGGTTGGCAAGCGAACACTATACCGGGTAAGATGGAAAGGATACCTGGCTTCAGATGACTCCTGGTTACCGAAGACCGAACTTTCACATGCCAAGAACGCTTTGGCAGACTTTATGCGACCAAACAAAGAGTGAACCCTTATAAGAACTCTTTTCCCCTGGTTTCTCCAATGGCATCCAACTCTTTACTCCTTGCACTCCTACTCCTCACCTGGTTTTTCCTCGCCGTCCTCATCCTCTTCATTGCTATTGCCCTCTTCGTCCTCAAGGACAGTTACACCATCAAGGTCAACCTCGAGTGCATTCCCACTCCTCTCGCCACCACTCCCATCGACGAACAAGCCCTCAATTGGTCTAATAACGGTGCACGAGTAACGTCCCCAATTGAATTAATCCCCACTCCATTTACTGATTTACTAAGTGGTGAACCAAGTATCCTTCCCCGCTGCCGCCACCCTCGTCGTCGCCGACGATCACAACCAGCTCCTCCTCCTTGCCCTACTGGGCTTCTGCCTCACCACCCTCCTCGCCGTCCTCGCCCTCGCCCTCATTGTCCCCCTCACCCTTCGGCTCACTATCAGACATCTTGAGAGGGAACACCAGTGGGCGTACAACATTGCCGTGACTGCACAGCGCCCCCTCCCCCATACCACTACCACTCTCCCCATTATTGCTGCCAACCGCGACAGCAACAACCCCACACAAGTGTACTTTGAGTACATTAGGGAGCATCAAGATTAGTACTTGGGGTCTATCTTTGTCTGTAGTAGTTGCCTGCATTTGTATTCTGGGACTCCTATTTTCTTGGAAAATCACCTTTTGGCTTTCTCTTATGCCTGCTGAACGCAACACAAGGCCGAGGACTAACAATGCGAATTCCTCTACTCCGCGTCGCCCTCTGGCTCCTGCTAGGAAACCTAACACTCCAACGTCTGGGGCCCAGAGAGTGCCGACTCCTTATCCACCCCACATCCAAGTTCTAGAGGAACACTTTAACGCTGGAATAGTAGAAATGCCAACTCCCATTCGACCTACCATAAACCTCCAGTCCCGGGAAAACTCCGATGACTCTTCAATGGAGTTTCTTAGCGAAGGAGGTTTCCGCTATCCCTTTCCTCCTATTCCTAACGTCACCTGTCGTCCTTTTCTTATCCCAGGGCCCTCGGATTCTTCCCACAATGACGCCGTACTCCTTCATCAGTTCCCTGGTCCTCTGGAACTTTCTCACAATCAGTCAGACACTACTCCGGGGTCATACCACGTTGCACCTCCGCAAACCTTGCCCTCTCAGTCATCAGTACTTGACTCATCATCTATGAACCCCAACAGTCCCATTGCTGCCACCACTGATTCTCCTAGCATGCCTCCGCTCGCCTCTGACATCTCGGATGGTGGGAGTCTTGACTACCCTACTAATCTACACCTCTTGGCCAGTACCAGCGAGTATGTCACCGCTTCTGAGGGGCATAGTGACAATCCACAGGAGTTTTTAGTCTACAGCGACGACATGGTCCAGCGACCTTCCAATGCCATCACCCAGGCCTGGCGGTCTATCCCCTTCAACACCTCCACTCCAATTCAAGATGTGGATCCCCTCGAACGTGTATTACCTCACTTCCCGGGAGCCTACACACACTCTCTCAGTCATCCCCCCATGGGAGTCTCCATCCACCTTAATCCTGCCTTTGGCCTGTGAAGAATCTTGCTAACCATGGCCGACATGCTACGAACTGCGGAACCTGTGGATAATGGGAGTTCTTCAGATAGCAGTGATTGGGAAGACAACACTTGGGAATTCTTACTTACACGAGACGATAACTTGCTGGAAAGTCTTTGGGCATCCTTACAGGACATTAAAGACCAAAGCGTCATTGATGAAGTTGACCAATTTAGGGCCGTCAATGCAAAAATTGATCAACTGCTCGCTGCACAACGATCTATAGGCGAGGAGTTGCTACATTCGGAGGAGGAAATGGCTCAATGTCGAGCTCGTCTCCAAGCCACTAACCTGGAACATCGGCTTGATCTCCACGAATTCACAGTCATACCCCCTTCCTCTGGTGCCATACCTCGTCGACTTCGTTTCTGTGTATGTTGCAAAACGGATGGACACCTGCAAAGTGAGTGTTGGCATTGGTTATGCTCAGCTTGCGGATTACTCCATCCTCAACACGCATTTCGCACCATCAACAATATCTGCCCAGGGCAAACTATCTGTCCCACGACAGAACCCAGGTATATCATCGATTGACGGGAATCACTCTTGTAACAATGAATCTAGAGGGGAGGGTAATATTACAGCCTTACAGGAGGGGGGGGTTTCTTTTCTTTGTCTAGCCATTCATTGTTGACCCTGTACTTGTTAAGGGACCTGTCGACTGAGGATCAGGAGTTCAACTGAGAACTAAGACTGACACTAGTGCACGTAAGGCTGATGTGCTGTACTTGATACTAGACTGGATAGACTGAGCCTCTATAGCTGATAGAGGTTTGAGAGGACAAACTGAAAGAAGCTAGAGTGCAGACTAGACTGAATAGACAACTGGGTCTATTACTGAGGATGTCCCTAT